TTCTCGTTTCGCCTCCTGACAAATATTTCTACTTTTGTTTATTTATTGGTTTAAGTTTCATTTTTTTCTGCATTCTTTGATTTTCTATTCGTTTAATTGAGGTATGAGGGCAAATTCTAAATAATATTTTTTTAATGGCAATAGCTGATTGGCTGTATCACCCAACCAATCATATTTATTCTTTCTTCTTTATTGAGTTTCCTAATTTTGTCCTGATTTTCTTAACAATATTTATGTTGCTTTAATCCACACTGTTGTCTGAATACTCTCTATCAAAAAAATAAAACGATTAATTTAAACATATCGAGAAATAACAACTTTACCATCTTTCTTTTCCGTTTAATGTCTCATTTTTTATTTTAAATTCCTAAATCTTTTTTTTTCACTGGTAGAAAGCAGAGAAAAACAGAACTCTTCAAGCATATAGGTTTTAATACAAGAATTTATAGATATCAACTAGGTTCAACTTAGTTCATTACAAAAGAATCTGATAAGAATTCAAAGAATAGAAATGGTATGTTGCAGCACTGTTCAAATGCGTGAAGGGCTTACACCTTTAAAATCAGCTTTTAGAATCTTGCCTTCTATCAAGAATCGAACGCCAAACACTGAAATATGCAATGAAGCCAGTTACCTAAATTAGTATGTGATTCACACGCAGAAACACACGAGAACTGAGTCGAATTTAATGTCCATCACGAAATTTGATCTAAGAAGAGTTGATCTGTGGTGACCCCAATTTGTATTGAGTTCGTCCTAAAAGATACCAAAACGGGATGTCACTTGAAACGATCAAAAATTCTAAGAGTTTCCACGGATGATCTAGATGATAATCTCGAAGCCAGGAAGAGGAGAACCGAACCTCAATGAAACTCTGTCGGTGCACCAACAAGAACAACGATGTGAACTTAAGATATACACACAAAAACAACCGGATAAAATAAACTTATACGAAGGCTTGGCCTAAAAGAGGAGATGAATAATCCTTCAAACCCTCCCAAAAAGGTGATCAAACGTTCGAATAAAATCCTGAAACCACATGAATTTCATTCGGCTGATGTTAATTTCACAGAGTCTAGAAGTAAATAGTTATTTAAGAATTAAAATGTTACTGTTCTTAGAAGATGTTAGTAGCATTGCTTTCCACGGTTATGTATTTCACCGCGATTAAATATTAACTGATAATTCTCGTTGTACAGTGCGATATAATAGGCTATTTATTTTAATTCAAAACCTAAGTAGATCCATTTTCATAGCACTGTCTCAGAAGCCAAATACTAACGAATGTGAAACCGATCAGACAATCAGCCTCATGAGCCATATAACAAATCTTATCATCCGAATTCTGATTAATAGAGCTCCTGGGTTCGGTAAAGATACTGGGTCAAGGAATGCTTTATTTAGCTCCTAATGATATAAAAAGAGCAATATAAAAGCAAACGCATGTATACCTAGGTTTTATAGATTATGCATAAGCTGTTGATAAAATACATCACAAGGACCTATTGAAACTGCTAAGTAACACTGACATAGTGGGAAGGATATAAAAATAATTTAGAACCTAAGCTGGCAGAAAACAGCTTACAAAAGGATAGAAAACTAATTCATGTAAATATACAAACTTAGAAAGTGTGTGAAACAAGGATATGCATTCTCAATGGATGTATTCAATGAGGCGATTCTGAGAGAATTAGAAGTACTATCAGGATTTCACATTGGCGGCAAATTAGCAAATTAGATGTATAGAGGACACAGTGTTGATAGCAGACATAGACCAGAAGGTAATGAAGGAAAGCGATAAGAAAGGCCTAAACATCCAGTGCAAAAAGAAAGAAAATACAGAATGCATGGCTTTTAGCAAAAGGAATAGTACAACATACAAAATGGAGATACCAAAACAGAGGTCGGAAAGTGCGACACTGAAAACTGAAGGTTCATTGGGATAGTGAAAAATGCCTTCCAAAATCTAAGCAAAGTATTAAGAAACAGGAAAATTTCGTTAGAAACAAAGAAAATACTACTAAACTGTTAAGTAATATCAGTCCGCTTATATGGCACTGAATGCTGCACAAGAGATGAAGAAGAGACTTAAAGCAACAAAAATCTAGTTCTACAGTAGAATGCTGGGAATACCGTGGAACGAACGTGAGCAACGACCAAGAGAAAAATGGAAAGGTAAGGGACACTTATATCAGAAAGAAACATTTGAAAATTATAGGGCACATGAGGAAAATGGGCTTCGAAATTTTATAATATCGGGACAGAACGTGGGACAGAGGAAAACAATGCAAAACCTACCTTGCGTCCTTGAGTAAATAAATGAGAGAACAAGGTTTAGGAGAAATAACAAAAAGACAAAATTTATTAAAGGACAGGAAATTTTGGAGAGCCACGATCGCTCACTTCCTGAAGAGAAACGGCACATAGAATTAGAAAAAGAATATTGTGTGTGCCATTAGCATAATAGTTATTGTGCTGCTTGGGGAATCAAAGTACTGAGTTCAATTTCCGGCCTACTACGTTCACTCTTACGCAAAGCTCTAACGTAAATCCTTTCTTCTCCTCCAAAATATAGGTTAAATATTAGAATTGACTGGACACTCTTGTTCTGGGTGTCAGTCAGACGAAAATACGAAAATTAACAAATTCAAATTCGTTCAGAAGGCAACAGGAGATAACTCGATAATTTTAACCAATAAATCATGTGAATTCACAGATAAAAAAAAGAAAAGGAATCTGTGGATAACAGCGATCGCTTACGTCCTGAAGCAAAGCCCACCCTCCGAAAATAGTTGAAATATTTCAGTCATCGATTTCGTATCTGAAACATCTGATGGTATATGTTCTTGAAACACATAAAGAACATCATCTTAAAAGTTCTTTTAACAGACAATTTGTCCTGTGAGTATTCGACAACGTAATCCGAACATGCATTGGAATAGCAATGATGCCTTCCAAAAACAAGAAATAAAAAAAATTTCGTTAGAAACAAAGAAAAGAATGCTGAAATGCTATGCAATATGACTCTTCCAATGTGACAGTGAATACTGGGCAATTTCTTCAGAGATGAAGAGAAGACTCAAGGCAACAGTGACGTATCAAGTAAACAACGGAGAAGCCTTAAGAGAGACTGAAAACAGGTATTTAGAGTCTGAAAGAGTTAACTGAAATTTCTTGGATACATAAGGAAGGCGTGTTGGGAAAAACTGACATACGCAGGATTTATCGGAGGTAAAAGTGACATGTGGTGACCTCGGGTCACATGACTGACGAGTATGCGGGAATGTACAACCGAAAGGATTTTGGAAGAATATTAAAAAAATACTAAGAGCTACAAAGGAGTGGAGAGCCATGATCGCCCACAACCTGAAATGGCACGGTATGTAGAAAAAGACTGTGAGGTTTTAGAAAAGATGTCCAAGCAGGAACGCTTAAATATTCACCCGGAAATAGTGGAAATGATTACGTGATAGTAATGTCGGACCCTTTATTTACAAGATGCAAGCGAATCAAAAAGAACCAATTTAGACGTCTAGATAATGAAACCATAATTTGTATTCCGTTACAGTTCCAGTCTGAAACTTTATTTGGCGTCTTTGAAATTTCTGTTCAAAACCTAACCTGAAATATTTGTCGATCAACAAGAACTCGAACAATGCCAAAGATTTTCGATGTCGAATGGGTTATTACAAGTTTCAAGTGTTCATTCCCACAGAAATAAATTCAATGTATCTCTCAAGTGCTGTCTGAAGCAACTGAAATAGATAATGCGATAAACTTAATAAATAAGGATATGTTTAATTTAGTGCGTTTTAAAGTTTACCGCGTTATTTGAAACTTCTTTCTTCGAAATACACGCCACAGATACTCTGGCTATATGTTAGAGACAAGTTTATACATTGAATATTTGCTTTTGTCCGTTTCAATAAAATATTCATATTTATTTTGTTAGGACGACCAGAAAGATAGATACATCGATAGGTACGAGTAAAGAGTGATAGATACAGAGATGTATACGAATAGAGTGAAATAGATAGATAGATAGATAGATAGATAGATAGATAGATAGATAGATAAGAATGAAGTGTGATAGATAGATAAATAAAGTGTGATAGATAGATAGATAGATAGATAGATAGATAGATAGATAGATAGATACGAATAAAATGTGATAGATATATACGAATAGAGTGAGATAGATTGATAAGAATGAAGTGTTATATATATATATATATATATATATAGAGAGAGAGAGAGAGAGAGAGAGAGTGAGAGACAGACAGAGAGACAGAGACAGAGAAATACGAATAAAGTGTGATAGATAGATAGATAGATAGATAGATAGATAGATAGATAGATAGATAGAACTCAAAAGGCTAAGTTTTCTAATTCACGTTTCGCAGATACAGCGCTCATCAGGTTCAAATAAATAAATAAATAGCGGATTATGTGCTTCGTTTGACGTCTGGAAATTGTTACTAAATATGTAGGCAATAAAGCCACTAAGACGCAGTGGCTTATTTAGTTGGAAAGAATAGAATAAAAATAGAAACATCATTAAGGAGCGAGAACAATAAAAAAGATTATGATTGAATAAGACAAAGAATCAGTTAAGTACCATACATGATACACGCTTGGGCGATCCTCTTTCCATTCATGACTGCCTAGGCAGAAGACTTTCCTGCATTTGGTTGTAATTTTTTCTGCTAATTGCTTACCAAGTCTATAGAATCCAGTCTATCTTGGCAATTAAACCATAGTTATGGAGGGAGCAGAGATTTATTCATACTTTTCTGCGCGAGTGATCGTAATGAACCGGACTAGAATTCGAACTGGGCTCTCCGATTTCTCATCCTGAGCAGTTATCCATTACAACAACTATTATTTTACTCAGACAATTTTTATTTTTTTATTTCACGTTATTTTCTCTCACAAGTATCGTTGTCGGGATTATTGGAGTCTCTGTAATAGTGCGTTAAATATGGATAACTATTCAGTTCCCCCCTCTTTTCACTCAAATGTTACCATGCTGATAAAACAGAATGCTTTGCTCGTAAATTGTCTTCCAATTCTACTCTCGACTAATCTGAAGTATCTTTATGTTGTGGATTCCGGGTTGAAATCCGGTACCAATAAATAACAAACGCCAGGAATGATTATATGAAAATAATGTATTAATGTAATAATACAAACTGGTAAAGCAGGTTAGTAGTTCCAGGAATACGGGTTAGTAGCAAAATATAAAATATATATACAGTCTTTGATATTGAAATATCGCTGTATGACTTCTTAGTGAGTCTACGTGCTCGCTCACTGTTACTCCTACAACGCTGTTACCTCACCCTCACTCTTCCGGTTACCTACACCCTTTTATTCTGTCACTCTGGACTCGACTCGACTTCTCGGGTATTCACTGGCAGAAGTATGAGTATACACTGGGTGAGTCCATTTGTATAAAAAAAGGGGTGGACCGCTCAACACTTTACATGACTTTCTACTTAGTACTGAATCCCTACTGCATGATATGGATATATGTTTTCTGCTATAACATCTAAACGTGGTTCTCAGAAAGCATATGAATTATATGGTAGCCTGAGATTGGCTCCTATTTGCTGTAAATTCTAAAATAGATGTCTTACTGTTTCTTATTTTCTACCGTATTCGGAATATTCTTTAATCCGTTTTTTAAAAATCGAACGAACTGTCTGATTATTTGAAATTCTCTATTATTTTATCGATCTTTGTCAATGTACTAAAGGCTCTAATCAACTCTGAATTGGTTAAGCATCTCCTCTCACATTCTCTTTTCAAAGAATATGCACTTCACTTGTCTATGTCAACTGCCGATGTATTAACGGTTATTGCTAAAAGTGTCCCTCGAGGTTTGATAAGAATTGGAAGTTTGAGCCCTTGCCTTAGATATATCGATGACATTTGAAAGGGTTTGTCAAACTGGTCTACTTGTAGTGCTCTAGTGCTTCTGGCGGAATTTTTGATTTGATTCAATCTTTGATATGAAATGACGAAATGAAAGTTCTCTTGAACGCCCACTTCTCTAGATCTTTTTTTACATTAATGCGGGTGTCTACCAGTGTTCTATCTTTGACCCTACCTCGTTCTTAATATCCATTACCGACTTTTCTGGCGTCATCAGTTCTCGACCCGATATCCCTGTTGATGACACAAGTATTTACTCCTGTCTTAATGGTAAGTCTGCAAGTTTCGATACAAATCTAATTTTTATTATATATGCGTTTGTATATATATATATATATATATATATATATATATATATATATATATATGACGTCATGAACCGCAATGTGATATTTTGCTTCCTGCGTTTCATATGCACGAATTTATCGTTCGTTATATAGCAATCTTCCATGCAAATGAAACAAACTATCATTGTTGCAATGTCCGCATAACGAATCTAAAACAAAAATTACCATCTTCGTTATATCATTTTTTTATTTAATTTATTGTAATGTACTTGTAATCTCTGATGATGGCTTATGTAAGTCGAAAGCTTAGGCAGGATTAACAATAAAAACATCTCTCAACATAATGATTTTCTTTCGTATTTCAGTGATAATGCTAAAAAGTTTATTCGACATTATGAGAGGAATTTACTTAAAATAAATAGACAAAATTTGTCTATATTAATTAATGAAACATGCATTAATATATATATATATATATATATATATATATATATATATATATATATATATAGTGTGTGTGTGTGTGAGTGTGTGTGTGTGTGTGTTTTGTATCCAGAAACTGTATGGTTTTTAGGATGTTACAGAGGCGTAAGTCTATATCTATTAGCATCACACGAAAGTATGGAACAGGGGAAATTTCTTCAATATCCATTCAAAACTTTTTAACGGACCACGATTTAGCGAAAAGCACACACAAGGTAATCGATATACGTAGAATAGCAAATTGGTGTTTTGCACCATCCTCATTTGTACATCATTAATAAGGCCTCATTTTCCGTCAGTATAGCTTTAGAAATCCTGAAAATTATTAAACCTGCTCCACAAAGCTGTATTTGATTGCATATGAAAATCAATATTTTTTATTAAAAATACATACAATACAATATTTACTCGAAATTAATAGTTCAAACCTTATTACATATACTACAAATGTTATTACTTCAAACTTTATTATTAGTGGATACTCGTATTTGAAATAGACGCCACATTTTTATTTTTGTTTTAAACAGTGTATCTATCGGCCAGTGTATTCAAGAAATCTGCATAAACAAAATGTGCTTTCCTGCAGGCATCCGAATAGCGTCCTCTTTGTTGGATAAACTAAAGAAGGACGCAGGTTTGTTACCAGCCGGTGAATACAATTTCTTTATTTAGATTTCTCGAATGCGCGGGCCGATAGATGTAATGCTCCTGTTTAAAATAAAAATAAAAATCCACTAATAATCGTTTTTAAGTAATAATAATGTCGGAATAAAAATAATTTCGTTAATTTTGTGTGTGCGTGTGTATGCATATATATATATATATATATATATATATATATATATATATATATATATATGGCTCCTGAAAAATTAATTTCAGTTGAGCACTCTGGGGAGGAGGTGTGGGTTGGTAAACAGTGACTATTTATAGCTATATAGCGAGAGTCTTCGCAAAAGCGAATTGAGTCACTGTCGGTCACTGAGCGTGTTTCTAAAAATAAATACGCTAAAAATCCTTCATCCCTACCGTGCGCTCACGGCTTAATGGTTAGAATCTCCGACTGACGGGTTTCGATCCTAGCTAGAGGCAACCGGATGTCTAGCCGCACTGATGAGCTGTGAAACAGCGAAACAGTCTGTCTGTGGATGACGTTATATATATAATCCTTTACACCAAAATATCTTCATATGTGTTCAGGTGTATGACTATATATAAAATGCACATATATGAATAAATGCACACACATACATATATATATATATATATATATATATATATATATATATATATATATATATATATAGGAGGGTGCAAATATGTAAAAAATAGGAAAGAACACGTAAGGTAAATAATTCGATCGTTAGAATTTTTGTTTTTATTTTTAAAAAACAATGCACCATACTTAAGTAGAGCTTAAATTAAATTATTTTTTTTTATTTTTTAATTATACAAAAATTAATTTAATTAGAAAACAGACAACCTTAAGGGTCCATTAATTATCTTTCATTCTCCACGAATTTTTTTTTTCTTGATTCCTCAGATCACATTTCCAAGCACAAAAAAATGGTTTTTATTTTACGTATTATTTTTATACATTTTGGCGGGGTTAGTTTTAAGCTGATGTAAGCTGTTAGAGATAGGGGAGGTGCAGGACGACAGATATGGTCAAAATTAGAGAAGGGAGGAAGAGATAGGAAGTGACAGCTCTCTGGATTACATCCTCCTTGGGATTATCTATACGGATTACCAAAATTTTCATTACCTACCTACCTCTATATATATATATATATATATAACGTGCATCATATATCTATCTATCTTGACCTGACCAAGAAGGCTTTCCCTTAAAAAAAATCATATACTTTGTAATTTTTTCACAGTTTAGAACACTCATATCTCTCTCTCTCTCTCTCTCTCTCTCTCTCTCGTCTCTCTCTCTCTCTCCGTTGCTCTCTGCATACATATATAAATATATATGTATAGAGAGAGAGAGAGAGAGAGAGTTGTATGCTCTCTGCATACATATATATATATAGAGAGAGAGAGGAAGAGAGGGAGCGAGAAAGAGAGAGGGGTGTATGTGAGTGTGTGTAGATATGTGTATTCACATTAAGAACACTGAAATAGATGTAAATTCCTCGTGATAAATTACAAATTTGTGCCTATTTGCGTCAATGTATTTCGACTTAAATTTAATGTATGAAAAGCAAAAGGAATGCAAATACAGGCGTACATGCAATTCCACACCATTACACCACGAAGCAGATTTAAATATAACCTTCCTATGAAATTTAACTGAAAAAATTTAAACACTTCTCGCAATAATACGAAACGAAAGAAAATAACAGCGATATTAATATAATTTTACGAATATATACATGGAAATATCTATATTTTTTAAATAAATATGCACGCGCTCACATACCTACAAGAACATATATGCATCCGGGTATAAATTTAAATCAGTGAGTTTAAAAAAAAAACACGGTTAGAAAGTAAACCCGAAATTCAAATATTTATATTTGTGCGAATTTTGATTTCGTAATCACATTTTGAAGCTGCAAATTATATTTCATTCTGTGAATATATTTGTAAGCTTAATAGTTTTTCTTTATAATTGTGCATGACATTAAAATTTAATAATATCGTAGATAAATATATATATATATAGATAGATAGATAGATAGATAGATAGATAGATAGATAGATAGATATATGCGAATGATGTGTGACAGATAGATATATAGATGCTAATGAAGTGTGATATATAGCTAGCTAGCGAGGTAGCTAGCTAGCTAGATAGCTAGCTAGCTAGCTAGCTAGATGCGAATGAAGGGTGATAGATAAATATATATATCGATATATAATTAGATAGAGATGGATGGATGGATGCGAATGAAGTGTGACAGATAGATAGATGCGAATGAAGGGTGATAGATAGATAGATAGATAGATAGATAGATAGATAGATACATGCGAATGAAGTGTGATAGATAAAAATAGAAATGAAGTGATGAATGAATAGATAGATAGATAGATAGATGATAGATAGATAGATAGATAGATAGATAGATGAATGCGAATGAAGTGTGATAGATAAAGGCGAATGAAGTGTGATAGATAGATAGATAGATAGATAGATAGATAGATAGATAGATAGATAGATAGATGCGAATGAAGTGTGATAGATAAAGGCGAATGAAGTGAGATAGATAGATAGATAGATAGATAGATAGATAGATAGATAGATAGATAGATTTGTGGGCAGAATTATTCACCCCTTCTTCCATAATTTCAAATAAAGTTGTAGTACGTCAAATTTTCATTGAAACTTCATATGCATTTTGTTTACACATGTTGAAATAATGCATTTTAAGAACGTGCAGTAATGCCTACAACATTTGTTTTTATTTTGAATGTTAAACAATAATACAAAAAATAACAAAAAAAGAATATTTAACATAGGACAAAATTATTAGCCCTCTTCATTTGATAATCAATTGTGTAACCACTATTCTTGATTATTGCCTTTGTTGACAATGTCCTTTCTCGTTGTGAGGATTCTTTGAGACATCTCTATTTTCCTTTCCATTCTCATAGAAATTAAACGTTTTCTGACATGAATTTATTCTCAACACAATGAGTTTCGTTGTACTCCTTGATAAGGCTACAAATTATCGATGTAGGAACATTTAAAAGTGTTCTCTATCAATCGCCTTTATTTGTACGCATCAACTAACTTCATTCGGAGCTTCTTGAGAAATTCAGCCATCTTCTCTATGGTTACAGAATGAATGAGTTATCGCGGCACGTCGTACTCACATATGGTTTTCTTCATTACCTTTTAGAATGTTATAGAATAAGGTCAATGCTACATCATTTTCAAAGGGTGTTTGTATTAAATGTCAAATTAAGAAAAAACGTTACAATTGCCAATGAGCAATATTATTTCTTAATTTTTATACGTGAATGTTAGGTAGGGCGAATAATTTTGGACTGCACTAAGTTTTAGAATAATCTGTGAATATGAATATAATAGATCAATACTTCTAAAAATTTCAAATTTCAATTATTCAAAAGTAAATATGGAAACAACTATTTCTGGTAAAATCAGTAAGTACTTGCAAATATCCGCATTTCCTTCGAAAATATGGAAAAATTCATTGTGGGTTAACTTGTATATGGATATGAATAAAGTGTGATAGATAGATTGTGGTAGCTAGCTAGATAGATAGAGAGATTGTGGTAGCTAGCTAGATAGATAGATAGATACACACAGGCTGATTCTCTTAGACTGTCTTCCATTTCGATATAAAATATAATTTTAGCGAATGTAATACTTGACGCTGTTTTAAGTAATTTCTACATATGTCCAAGGCATGTTATATGACTGACTGTCTTAATCCATCACTATTCGTCTTGCTGTTGGTTCCTTTTAAGCAACGGCGGGTGCGTACCTTGATTTTTATTTGAGCGATTGAAATGAGAACAAGAAAAGAAATCACCCCGAAGATACCAAAAAAGTCAAGAAAGATCATGAAGTGGGTAGCTGTTGAAATATTTGACCTAATGAAAGCCCGACAGCAGGCAGTGCCAAGAAAAAGGCATCGATTAGAGAAAAGCATCAGAAATAAATGCGAGCAAACAAGAAAAATGACATAATGCGAAATGTGCAAACATAAAAAAAAACTGCAGAACACATACATAGGATATCGGCACAGAAAAGATAACAGAATAGAAAGCATATTCTTCTCTAGGATGCATAAAATTTAACGGAGAATCAATCATAATCTTTATTTAAAATTTCCGTAACATCCGTCCGTCCGTCACCTCGTCTAAAATAACCATACATTGACAGATCAAAATCAAATTTTGAGAAGTATAATTGGTTTTACAAGGGTAGTTTGGTATAGTAAATTTTCATTAACTTTTTTTAAAAATTAAAAATTTAATTATTTAACATACAAAATATTCCCACTATTTTAAAATCAATTTAATGATTAAAATAACAAATATCTATTTTAAAAATGCAATATTGTTTATTTTTTTTTGCATATCTTTTCTTTAAGTTCTTATATACACAAGAATCCAATTTCCAGTTCGCCCTGCATTTATTCTTCGCTTTTAAAAACGAAAAAATTTCTTAAAAATATTGTTTACCATGAAGTCCTATAAAATTAAATTAAATTAAAGAAATTATTAAATCACAAAGTAGGGTTTTTGCCAAAGTATTTTTCCAAACAAATCAGCTTATTCAAATTTCTTTGATTGCTTTGCGAAATTGAACGAAACGTATAGATTGTAAATCTCGGCAAAAATGTTTGCGATAACTTCAACAATACGAAATACTATGCTTATTTCACCACCCGTCAGCGTGCTGCAAAAACATTTTAGTAAAAGAAAAAACGTTAAAAATGTGGAATGAGTACATAGGAAATTTCTTCTATTAAAATAAAGGAGAAAACCCTAAAACACTCAAACACTGGATACATTCTACATTACATACTGTTATGGTCCATGTTAGGACCAAGGAAGAACACGAACACAAGAGAAGAAATAACAAAGGTATATTACACGAAATAATAATACAAGATGTGGAAGGTGTTAGTATGACTGTCAGTTTGGTTTGGAGTGAACTACTATCGGCTCGACTCGATTCGGTATTTAGCCACCCCCACCACGAAGGTTGCACAAGGCAGAGTTTAACGTGGGTTTCCCGAGCCGGTAGGCTCGGCCAAAAAATGCCCGTAGAAACTATAAAAACAAAATCGGGGAGGTCAACCTCCCCGAACGAGACTCTGCCCTTCGGCGGAGCCTCGTCCGGGTTCCTCTCTGCTCAGAGGCAGAGAGTTCGACCGTCAAGCCGAGAAACTCGGCTTGATTCGTCCCTCTGTCTTGAGAGTCGTAGTAGACATAGTGTTAGGAAGAGTTCATTCAGTGGTTATAGGTAAGGACCCATGACATATACAATTATGGAAAGATTGGTAATATCTAAACGAGTAGTTAGGTCAGCATTGGCCCACACTCGCCTAGAGAATACAACAAAAAGTTCAGGCGAATTATTTTCCTAATTTATTAAATTTTTTATAAAATTTAGGACTTACGCTATCTCTAGACCTCATAGAACTCATATATTCGATCTACTGCTGAAGGTTGCTGGGAAAATAGTTCGTTCACTGTATCGCTCCGCTGTGTAACCCATTGTGACACCGGTAAATGAAAAAAGGCTAAGTTGGAATATGTGCTTAGAACAGAATGAAAAGGGGTTAACTTAAAATATAACTTTGAATAAGGCAAAAAGTGTTAAAAAAATGAACGATAGATAAACTAAGAAGCGAAATTGCTTTTATTTTTTAATGTCTGTTTTTTTTTAAGCAGAAACGGCTTGAAGAAAATGACTTTGTTGTTTCGGGGAAAGATATTACCAAAGAGGCAATCTAGAAAATGTTGGGCCAAGAATTGATTGATGGGGCTGCCTTAAAGTTGGAGTTACGAAAACATCTCAGGAACAGCCGGAAAAGAAGATCAGTTGAGGAGATAAAATTTTAAAGCAAAGTCAAATGGAGAAAAACTGATTGATGATTGTTGTCAGAAATTAGAAGACTGTAAAAACAATCCAAGAGAAAGAATTTTATACTTTTCCTAAGAGAAATTAAGATATAAGGATTACGGTAAAAAGGGAATTAGCTGGTTATTTTCTGATTCTAAAGACAGGACCCCAAACTGGGAAAGTGTTTTGACTACAATTAAAGTAATGAATACGATTAATGACCAAAAGATAAGTCCAAATCGTTCGCCCACAGAATTTGAGAATCGAATTTGTCAAGATGACAGCCAAAGAAAGAGGCTTAGGTGAAGTTAGTACATACGACCACTGCCCATCGAAAATTTCAAATTTGGAGGGATAATTAATTTTCCAAAACCAGACAACAAAGTACTCTTTTTGGAAGAGAGAGGAAGCCCCGAGTCCCCAAACACGTGAGCACCCATACCAGTCTTGTGTAAGATAAAAATATAAGCAGAGCGCTGAAACGACCAAGACAGAGTGCTAATTGGGGAAGCAGACGACCATGGAGCGACCACTCTGCCGAATCCCACATGACATGATGCCAAAGTGAAGTCCCGACTTCAGTCTTGCTTCAGACTTAGCTAAAATGAGTAAATGTTACGATAGAATTCAAAGTCGGAATTCAAAGGTTAATATTTCTGTACAAACTACGATATAAACCACATAGAAAATTGACCCAAATAATTTCCTCTCGTCTTTTTTTCCTCTGCAAAGAACGCTGTTCTTTTCTTTTTCCTTGTGACACAGCTTCGTCGTGGTTCGAACCAACGCTACAATTGGTGAGGGCAGCTCAGTCTTTTCCGGCTCCGTGATTAGAGAGTACAACATGGCGGAGCAGAGCACAGACTGGGACGGCTGCTTCAAAAACCAGCAGCAGTATTGACCAGCGTAGAATTTAATCAAGGACCGACCGTCAAGAAGTGTCATAACTGTACTCACCCTATTATATTCTATCTTTACAAGAATCTGATCAGAAAAACAATGGAGTACAGCTGTATCTGCCCAGTCATGACTTGCCTGTCTTGCTAGAGTTCAACAAGATTTACGCAGCCTTGCGTGTGGTGAACTCTTCTCAAATCTGCGAACGTTGCTAGCTTCTCTTTTATATTGTTTTCATAACCTCTTAGTTAAGCGTTTTTTTTTTCTTTTGCATTGCAGCTAAATATTGATTTTCTGGTGTATTTTTCTTGATAATTTCTAGCGTAGCTATAGCGGAATTGTGGCTGCCTTTAAATAATATATTTTTATAACGTTCCACTTCTTCAGATTTGGACAGAATATAAAATTATTAAACTGATTATTATTATTTATTTTATTTTATTTTTTTTTCAATATTGCCCCCCCTGTACAAGGACCAAGGGCCACTCAAGGTTACAAAGTCACAGACACAATTTATGGAATATGTAGAGAAGATAACAATTGAACCGAGCCTTGAACAGGTTAGGATTTAGTGATCGGGAAGCATCTTCCTGGGATTCGATTCCATAAAACAGCGGTCCGCAAGAAGAATCTGCTCGATTGGAACTTACATGTCACCAGTTGAATAGGAACTGAATGAAGGTAGTTCGCTACAATATGCGTGGCACGGCGAGTTTTAGCCGCTAGGGTTAGAACTGGTGAATCTAAGGAATATAGTTAGTCTGGACACTTTGATGGAAATACCGATAGAACAGTGAGACTATCTATCTATCTATCTATCTATCTATCTATCTATCTATCTAT